CAGCTGGTGAGCTCTGGTGTACTAGTGGCAAGAAGCTGCACTACAATCCCAGAGGTGAGTGGTTTGAATCCACTAGATGCTCTGCTGAAGAAAGGGCAATCTCCTCCTGAGCCAGTCAGATCCGATTTGACGGTACACACACACAAATAATTTTTAAAAATTAAAAAAAAGACAACTAATATTTCTATTTGTCTCTTTCTGGTGTTTTCTTTCTAAATGCATTTATAGAATTTAACATCATACAAATATAAAGATTGTTTTAAAAACTTCTTATTATGTCAATGAAGAACCCTGATGACTTGGTGTAATATATCAGGCTGCTTACGGAAACCCCAGCGGTTTGAATCCACCATCTGCTCCTCAGGAGAAAGACCAGCAGTCTCCTCCCGTAAATACCTGTGGCCTCAGGAACCAGACGAGGGTCACCGTGAGAACCTACTTACGGACAGTGAGTGGCTTAGGTATTAAATCAAGAGCATTTCCCAGCATCATTAGATGGCCTTCAATAATCTGATTTTCAATCAGTGCAGGATACTGTATAATTATACCATGAGTAGTCTAATCCCCTCTTGTTAAACTTCATCCTTTTGTGCTATATCCCTGCACTGATCTCTGATTATTTCCTTAAGATGCCTTCCCAGAGGTGGAATGACTGAGTCACAGGGTGAGAGCATGTATTGTCAAATGCCAGCTTTTAGCATATGATTAGTATTCAGGACATAATTGTTGAGTGGATGGAGGCTGTGCAAGCTATTTAATGATGCACTGAACACTAATGACTGTAAATCAAACATCGTGGAATGACATCAAGGACATGAAGAAACCAAAGGGCATTACAAAGTCAAGGAAGAAAGAAAAGACCAATAGGGATGTCGAAAGAGACTCTGAACTTATGCTGGAAGGAAAGACTTCAACACAAGGGGAAGGAATGCTGAGGTTAGAGAGCTGAACAGAAGATTTCCAAGGGCAGCTCAAATAAGATAAAGTGAAGTGTTACAGTGAGCAAGGAGCAAGAGTTAGAAAACAAAAGGGAAGAGCACGCTGAGCATTTCCCAAACAGAAGTGATGAGCAAATTCAAGCCTTGAATTGTAAAATCTTGAATAGTGCAAGAAGCACCAAAAGAAGATGCAAAAAACTCAAGCACTATGTTGTTGTTGTTGTGTACTACAGAGTTGGAAGAGACCCATCCTGACCAGTAGGTTTTCAGAGGCAGTCAATCGTTATACCAAAGAGAATTATCATCTCGGAACCATTTCAGGAAGTAGCGTAAGAACCAAGAGCACTGAAGGAAGAAGTTCAAGTGGCACTGAAGGCATTGATAAAAAGTAACACCCCAGGAATGGATGGAATACCAGTTGAGGTGTTTCAACAAACACATTCAGCCCTGGATGTGCTCATCAGTCTCTGCTATTAAATATGGAAGACAGCAACTTGGCCAAGTGACTGGAAGAGATCCATATTTGTTCTCATTTATTATCCAACTGGCTAGAAATTATCTAACAATATCAATGTCACATGCAAATAAAGCCTTGCTGAAGATTCTTTTAAAAATGGCTAGGACAATGCATCAACAAGAAACTAGAAATTCAAGCTGGATTTATAGGAGGCCGAGGCACAGGGGATGTTATTGCTGATGTCAGACAGGCCTTGGCTGAAAGCAAGGAATGCCAGATAAAGTATTGAGAACACTGTAATTGCCAAAACAATGAACAAATCTGTCTTGAAGAAGAGCAACAATAGTGTTCCTTAGAGGCAGGGTTGCTCAATCTGTCTCATTTACTTTGGGCATGTTGTCAACAGGAACCCATCCTTGGAGAGAGACAATAGACTGGGGAATGTGGAGAGTCAGAGAAAGAGAAGAAGACCCTCAAAGAGATGAATAGACACAGTGACGACCTCATTGACCTTGAATGTGACAGAGGTCATGAGGGTGAGGCAGCATAGGGCAGGGTTCAGATCTGTTGTTCACAGGGTCTCTATGAGTCAGTCACCTCAGTGGCTCCTAATAGCAATGCTGCTATAACCACAAAAGGGCAGTCTTAACAAATAGAAGTTTACTTTCTCGCAGCTCAGGCTACTAGCTCTCTGAATTCTGGCAGCCAGCTCTGCGTGAAGCATTTTTCTTCTGTCTTGGTGCTGGAAATCCTTGTCTCTTTCGAGCTTCTGCTCAATCTTCTGATGGTTGAGCATCACTTCCTCCTCTCTGCTCCTTATTCAATCTCTTGTATTGCTCTAAGTGACATGTGCACTAATCTTAACCTCATTAACATGACAAAGATAACGTTTTCCCAAATAGGGATTATAACCCAAGGTTAGGATTCACAATGTGTATTTTTGGAGGATACAATTCAATCCTTAAGAAATGTCCTAGGGAGCTCGGGTGGCCTAGTGGCAAGAAGCTGCACTGCAACCTCAGAGGTGTGTGGTTCAAAGCCACTAGATGCTCTGTTGGAGAAGGAAAGGCAATCTCCTCTTGTACCAGTCAGATCTGATTTGATGGTACATACACACAAAAAAAGAAGAAAAAAAAAAAAAAGAAATGTCCTTCAGAAATCTTGAGTCAATGAATGCTCCCACCAGCAATATGGAAGAAGAGCTTGTGTTGGTCAGTCTGCATCGTGATGTGTGTTGTTGTGCACTGCTGAGTTGGAACCGACCCATAGCTGACCCCTCCAGGGGGTTTTCAGAGGTAGTTAATCGCTCAGGAGGAGATGGCTCATCCCTCTCCTGCTGAACAGAGTTGATGATTTTGAACCAAGTGCCTTTGTGATTGCAGCACAGTTTCTTACCACTGGATCACCAGCACTCATGATAGGAGTAATAATAACATTTTGGTTAAATTAACAGGATTTTGGTTTCTATGATTCTGGCAATATTATCAAACAAAAACATGGAATGTTTGAAGCCTTCTTAAATGGTGTAGGATTCTAATAGACTGCTGCTTTTCAATAAGCTGGGACAAAAAAGAGAATGGAGCAAAGTCATGATGATTCATGAGGTTTTCTTTACATCTTCTAATGGGTCTTGGCCACTTGTGGTTGCTCAACAATCTTATTAAGCTTGAGGCTGGAGAAGGTATCTTCTGGATACAATCCAGGCCTTTGCTGTGATTTAAAATTTTGGTGGCAGTGGTAGAACTACCAATAAATTCTGTTCCTTTATAATCTGAGATGTATAGATTTAAGGAAGAAAAATTTAAACACTAGACCTTTCCATTCTGTAAAGAAAAAGGGGGGAAAATACTGTTTGAGGTTTTTTATGTGTTCCCCTTCCTATTTCATTCCATACCCTATATCATCCTGTCCAGATTGGTACTAGTCTCCATTTTGCAGATGAGGGAGCTGATGCTCAGAGAGGCTGGGTAACTTATTTAAAGTCACACAGCTGGAAGTTCAGATCACCTGATTTGAAGCCCAACTCTCTGTTCATGGTTTTGGGAGGCAGTCCTGGAAGAGGAGGTGGGAGTGGGATTTCTGTGTGTGGATGGAATAAGGATCTAGAATTGAGGCCTGGAGGTCAGGTTGAGTGTGGGACCAGTTTGAGTGTGCAAAGTTGATTTTAAGGTTCTATGGTTCTGGACAATGGCTAGGGATGACAGAAAGAGAATTGATGCCTTTAAACTATGATGCTAGAGAAGAGTGTTAAACATATCATGGACTGACAGGAGAACAAATAAGTTCATCCTGGAGAGGGTGAAACCAGGCTGCTCCTTGGAGTCAAGGATTCTGAGGCTTCATCTGACATACTTTGGGCATGTTGCAAGGAGAGACCAGTCCTTGGAGAGGAACATCATGCTTGGAAGAGTAGAGGGACAGAGAGGAAGCTATTCAATGAAATGGATTGATTCAGTGACTGGAGTAATGAGGGTAGGTGTATTAGAGACAGTAAAGTTGGCACAGGATAGAGCAGATTTCAGGGCTACTGTCCATAGAGTCGCGATGAATGGCAAGTGACTCGATAGCACATAACAACAGCAACAGCAACAATAGCAACATGGCTCTGTGGTCTGTCTTGGGGAGGATGAAACAAAGTTTCTCCTTGGAGGTTAGGATTTTGAAGCTTCATCTCCCATACTTTGGGCAAGTGGCCGGGAGAAGGACATCATGCGCAGAAAGGTAGTGGGACAGCACAGGAGAGGAAAGACCCTGGATGAGATGGATTGATACAGTAACTGGGGCAATGGGGATTGGTGTGTTGGAATTAGTGAGACTGGCTCAGGACAGGGCAGGGTTCAGAGCTGCTGTACATAGGGTTGCTATGGGTCATAGACAACTGACAGCACATAACAACAATAACAACAACAACAACATGGCTCTGTAACTATTACAAGGAGTTGGGGATCCCAAGTCTGTCTGAGGATCTTGGCTGAAGGTCCTGGGGATTGAAGACCTTGTGGGGTGAACTAGTCAAAGGACAAAGGCTGAGTCCAGAATTTAGGGTTCTTGAGAGCCTTCAGGTCCCGGGACTCCAGCTGTGGAATAGAGTTCTGAAATCTGAGCTCTTCAATTCTGAAGTCCAAGGAAACAGGATCAATGGTTTCTTTTAGAGCATGAGTATTAAGAGGCTTTGTTGGGAAGTCTCTGAGTCTTCAGGGTTCAGACTGTGGCCCCTTTCCAGGTGTGACAGGTCTAAAGTCTGACCAGTCCTGGCTTCTGAGCCGTAGTTGGGGTTTCTGAACTTGAGGTTCCTAGATCCCTGGGTTCCAAGAGCAGTGTCGTAGTATCTGAGATCCTTAGTGTGTATGAACTTAGTGTTCCCAGGTCTAAGGCCTGGTGTTAAGTGGAGGCCTTTGATGTGGCTGCGAAGAGCTGGGAGTCTGGGTTCTGGGACCAAGAGAATTTGGAAGTTGCCTCTAGGGTTCCTCACCATCCCGCCCTCGTCTCTATTTGATACGCCGGCGCTAGGACCCGGCGGGAGGCAGAGGCGGTGTTGACAGCGGCAGAGGCAGGGTCGGCGCTAGGACCCGGCGGGCCCGCGGGCGGCGGCGGCGCGTGGGGCGGCGCGTGTTGACAGCGGCAGCCGCGGCGGTGCTGAGCCGGGCGGGCGGCGGGAGTCGGCGCCTCCGGTTCCTGCCTCCGGTCCCGAGGCGGCGGCGGCCGGGCGTCCCGGGATGGCCTTCATGGAGAAGCCACCGGCCGGCAAGGTGCTGCTGGACGACACGGTGCCGTTGACAGCAGCCATCGAGGCGAGCCAGAGCCTGCAGTCACACACGGTGAGCGGCCCGCCGGCGACGCGGGGCAGCCCGGGCCGCGAGGGGGC